GTTAATTAGTGAATAAAATTGTGAAACATGAGTGATGAGCCTGTTTGACATCAATATTAACTACAAGCGTTATCACTAAATAAACGTAAAGCAAAACAAAGCTGGCGGGGATTCGCAGTTAGTCATCAAGCACAGTCAGATGCACCACTTTATACGAACTAGTTGTTACATGCATTGTTACGTTATTTGCCGAGTGCTCTTATTTTTCTTAGTTTAATTGCAAGGACACCCATCAATGAAATGCCATGAGACGTTTGTATTCTGAGAACGCAGATAACCAGAGGTTTGGTAAGTTATCGTCTTCAACTCTGTTCTTGGTCCACTCCTCTTCGTGGTTTATGTCGATCACTTACCCCGTCACCTGCACAGCCCATCACTCATGTATGCGAATGACATCAAAATCTGGAGTACAACCGAGAGTTCAGAGGATCGAAGTATTAACGAAAAGATCTGAATACCCTGGCTCAGTGGGTAGGCCCTTCCAGTAAACACCGCCAAGTGTTTACCTACACCTGGGGCGTGTGCTGATTTGGAGGTGGTTCACAGCTTCCAAGGAACTACATTGCGCAGAACATCGTGCGAAAGAGACCTGGAAGTTATGGTGACGTCATCACTGAAGACCCGAGAGAACACTGACATGTTCTGTGCCAATGCATGGAGCATTCTGGAACCCGTTCGAAGATTTTTCAGTCGGATTACGATAGGCGCTTTCAGAATACTGTGCACTTCACACGTCAGACCGAGACTTGAGTATGGCAGCGCCGCGACATACTCCTGTATGCCCGGTGAACTGGCTAAGTTGGACTTTGTACAACTTGCTGCCACTAGGCTCGTTATAAGACTAAGTGGGACCGGCTATGAAGGTTGTCCACAGGCTACTGGTCTGTCCCCAGTTGCGTATTGGCGCGTTAGGTGGAGATCTGATCTCTCTGGGGAAGCTTCTGAGGGGTAATATGGGCTCCGAGTTGCAGCAGCATTTTTCCTAAAGGAAAGAGAATCGCACGGTTGGTCTTCCGTTAGTCAACAACGCTCTGGAATCCCCTTCCAGCGATTGGAGTAGGAGACGACCGACGCTGCTTTCAAACGGCGTCTGGATGAGCATCTTAAGGGGCTACAGAGGAACGACTACATTTGATCAGATCATCAATCTAGTGGTGACGGGGTTTACACGGCTTTCCTATCCTCAATATTGAAAACTGACTGAACTATCTGCAGGAGCATATTGCAAAATAATTGACTTTTGAGTGGTTGGTAAAATTTTACTAGCACCGGTTCACGAATTCATTCTTAAAGGTTGTTCGGTGTAAAGTATTCCGTTAACGGCATATACCAACTTG